ATTTAGTATAGAATTGGTACTTTTTAATAATTTTAGCTATTTTTCCTATGATTCTTTCTTTATTACCAACTTATTTCAGAGGAAAAAAATTTGGGGTATAGTTACCCTTTAATACAATAACTGAATCAATTTTACTTAAAATACATTTACATGTACATATGCCTTTGATCTTCAGAGACTTCATGCTATTGATGTACATTAGGCCAGAAAAAATCATTTTTAAGTTCTTTACTAAACCACATTATGTACATGCAACCATACTCAGTATTACATGATTATTACTATTATTAATATTATTGTATTTTATTAGTTGTTGGAGTGTATTCTGAATTGGACCAAGTGATGGCGAAATCAATAATATTCCATACATATATTCAACTGCTAGCAAGAATAATACTGATACTCAAATTCAGGTAAATATATATTTTCTGATAATGATGATGAGTGAAAGGTCATTAGGAGGACTTATATTCTTTTAGTATATACAATATAATGAGAAGTTATTTAGACAGTACTGTATAATAATATATAGTCTATAGCGTATATACAGTGGGTTGGTGGGGCAAACCTCAGTCCATTCACTATAAACTATCAATCCATACAATGATATCCTGTTATTATTATAAACCATACAATACAGTACTGACTCATCTATAACACTATATTCACATACCAATGCATTGAGATGTTATGATAAACTTACATGTTTCAGGTGTGGCAAGTGAGTCAGTTTATACAGTATAAACTGTTCTTATTCCATTTACTGATAATGGCTACTACTGCTGGTGTCTACTGGTGTCTTGTGTTGACTGGATGTATGAGTATTGTTGAATCTAGTGAGTTTATTAATGTATGTAGCATAATTATCATCATGTTGTTATATATAGCTTTAACATATGAGCAGTCTCCTTCTCCTATTGTGTGTCCTGGAGATGAACTAGTGTTTACTTGTGTGACTGTTGGTACTGGATCTGTTAGGTGGAGAATAAATGGAAATGATGGACAAACTCTCTTACTAGATAGAAATACAACTCCAACAACACTTGGCAGTTTTTCACTAAAAGTAACACAGTTTGATGAAATGGCAAACAGGATAGCTAGTACAGCAACTAGTGAATCTGCTCCAGTATCATTAAATGGAACTAGTGTTGATTGTGCTGAAGGATTAGCAAAACCATTTGAAAGAAAGTTTATTAATTATTCAGGTATATTATCAATAAAATAATAAATTATATGTCTTTTTTTGTTCTTGTGAAAGCAGGTCCACCTCCAGCAGTTACTAATATAAGTATTGAAGCAATTCATAATGATTCATTATTCATCAATTGGACATCTTCAGGATTATGTATAAACAATTATATTGTTAATATTAATGGTAACAATATTAATGAATACAACGCTACTGCAAGCAACACTGATATAACACTGTATACTCTTATTATTGGTACTAATTATTCATTTATTATTATTCCTATTGATACTATTGGAAGAGAAGGACCTCCTTCATCATTAATACAGTATATATGGAATGGTAAGTACTATACACACACACACTCATTGTATTTCTTATAGTACCAGCTCAAGTTGTTAATATTAGTTGGGATCAGATATCAACTGATACTATTACAATATGGTGGAATAACACTCAAATGCAAGTATGTTAAGAGTTACAATATTATAATAGTATGCATATTAACAAGAGTTTAACAAGAGTGGATAATTATCTACTCTTGATATCAATAATATTTAGGAATATTCCATTATACCAGTTCCTCCTATTCAGTATTACATTATTAGTGTATACAATACATCAAACAGTATTATATACACTAATAATACTACTAATACTAATATTACTATCACTGGACTACCTCTTACTGATACAAGCTACACTGTTAGTATCATTCCTGTTAATATTATTGGATATGGACCATCAGCTACTGTTAATGGTATTAACAGTTGATTTTAAGAACCCATCAATTGTTGTCATTAATAGTCAGTGTAACTGTTACTCCTACAGTGACCACTAGTTCAATTACTAATGTTCCATCATCAGGTCTGTACAGTTAATTCATTATTCATTAGTACATGATATATTGTATACTATTATTAGTTACATTAACTACTGATATTAGTACCAGTACATCAGTTACAGTTATATTATCTACTTCAAGTAAGTGCTAGCTTTATTCTATTAATTAATTATGGCAGTAACAGTTACAGTGTCTTCAACAATTCATGAACAATCATCATCTTCCTTTATTTCAGCTACTAGTACATCAACTGGTACTACTAGTATGAGTACATCAGTTTCATCAACAACTACTGTATCAACTACTGTTGCTGGTTCTAATGCTGTTCCTATTATATCAGGAGCCATTGGAACAGTATTTGTTATAATAATAATTATTATTATTATATTGGTGTTAGTGATACTGGCAATCAAGAAACAAAGAAGTAAGTTCGATTACTATAATCACTTTTAATTATTGCTATTTTGCTATGCATACAGGAAAAAAATATAAAATATCTAAAAAGCAAGTTTACATCTATATTTATGTATTCATGTATCATCAAATCCACAGTAGAGCTAATGCAGCAGTTACTCCAACATATGATGAGATCATTGTTAAACCAACTACTACTGCTGGAGTACCAATATATGATACACCAATGGAACTACAGGCTAATACTGCTTATGGACCTGTGATTAATAAAGATATAATTAATGTACATAATAATGATGCATATGGACAAATTATGATGTAATTATTTTTATAATGAACCACTTGTTGTTTTAATAAGTGTGTTTACAGGATGAGCAGCCTATAGTACAAAATTGGCACGATCACTAACATTAACTCAAACTTTCTACATAGTTAAGGACATCATTTGTATCATAAGTATATCTATTTCCTCCCACTATTGATAGCATAAAAGATCTTTGGCTAAATTTTGAGCAAATTAAAAAAGTCATTAAAGTTCAAAATGGGATCAAAATCAGCTCAAACGTGACACACATCATAAGAACATGTATATTTTACAACAACAATAAAGAATATTAACTGTTATGAAGTATATAAAAAGGTGAACTCATTTTGGTTACATATAACCAGATAATTCATTAATTGATCATCATAATGCATCAATGAACAATGATGTAATTTGCTCCTTGTCCTGTTCTTACTTTTAGCCATGCATGCAGTGTGTAGATTAAAGCTTTTAGCTGTTTAAAATCACTTCTCATAACATGTTAAGTAAATCATTTCATTATGAACTTAGTATTATACTCCACTAATTAATTCTTGTATGCATGTTGTTGTGAATAACTCTTATTTCTAGTTTCATTGTTATTGTCAATTACTTACAATAAACAATACATTGTTTATTGTAAGTAATATGAACTTAATCACAATAACAATAGCTAATGGTATACTATTGCATGTACTTTACAAAAACACTCAAGTTATTGCCTGGCCTGTATCATTATCAACAAAAATAGTAATAATAATTGCTATTATACTATCATGGGTGTCTATTATAAGTGGGACCTCTGTAATATTCTCTCATATTCTCATTTGCTATGTCAGTACAGTTTTGTTTGTGATTTGTCAATGAATGTGTTACCACAGGTATGTATAGATCTAATATGCACCTGCATGACCATGCAGTTATTCAAGGTGTGGTTGTATAAAACATCATCATAAACAGTTTATTGTTTATTCTATAAACTGTTCAGCTCTTATTTCTCTTATATTAATGGCTGCTACTGCTGGTATCTACTGGTGTCTTGTATTGGTTGATCTTATTGTATTATCATCTGCAGCAACATTGAATCAAACCTCTCCATCTTATACTCCAGTGTGTCCTGGTAATGAACTAATGCTGACTTGTACAACTTATAATACTGGACTTACATTCTGGAAAGTACCTCAGGCTGGTCTTCAACAGTCTGAATCAGAACTAATACCAAAGTTTGGTACAGTTATTGCTGGCCTTATTCTTAATATTACTAAGAAGGAAGGTACTACAGTAACATCTACTGGTACATATCAGTCAATAAATGAATCACTGAATGGATCTGTGGTTGGGTGTTCTGGCTCATCAACTGATATTCAACTATTTGCTAATTTTACTATCAATATAAGAGGTTAGATACTATAATAATTATATATAATAATAATGATGATAATAATAATAGATCTGGATCCACCAATAGCTGTTAATAACATTAGTATAAATCCAATTAATAATAATATAATATTTATTGATTGGTTGCATCAGAATCAACAGAACATACAATGTATAGACCATTATAAAGTTGTAGTTAATGACAGCAATGAACCATCTTCTCAATACAACTACAGCACTACTGGAAACAATCCTAATATAACAATTACTTCTCTTATTATTGGTACTAATTATTCATTTATTATTATTCCTATTGATACTATTGGAAGAGAAGGACCTCCTTCATCATTAATACAGTATATATGGAATGGTAAGTACTATATACACACACACACTCATTGTATTTCTTATAGTACCAGCTCAAGTTGTTAATATTAGTTGGTATCAGATATCAACTGATACTATTACAATAT